GGGGCCGTGGGGCAGCCACCGGGGCACGCGGGGTCTGGCAGCGCTGGGGAGGCAGCAGGCAGGGCTGGCAGCCCGCGGCTCGGGGACGTGCCGGAGCACAGCTCCTGTTTGGGGGTGGCGAGGCAATCTGGAGTTAAGATCGTTAATCGCTTCTCTGTCTGGTAACGTGGAATATGCCCTTATCAATCAGCAGTGCCAGGGCCCCCCTGTGCCTCCACCTCCCCACTCCAGCCTGGCTGTGTTCTTCGCTTCCCTGAAATACACATTTGCCCTTTACAAACTAAAGCATGTTAAGTATCTCATTACAGAGTCGCTATACAGAGTGTTTTATTTCATGCTTTGTTAAGGGCAGAATCGTTTAAATGCATCCTGGCAAAGGATCTAATAAGAAATTAGTCAACTTTCTGAAAGCATAAAATACAGTTTAACGGCATCATCCGTTAAGAATTAGAGTTCGCGTGACAGATAACCTGGGGATGCTGCTTTGCTGGGTTTGGTAGCACACGCTGGCTTTAAGGACTCCGGTTCCTGCGGGAACACCCGGACTGTCCCACCGTGTCCCACCAGCCAGCGAGCCCCGCGCCCTGCCCTCGCCTCCTGGGGCCGTGCTGCCTCCTCCTTGTCTGACAGCCCCATCTTCTCCATCATGGAGAAGCCGTTTCGCTGCAGAGCACAAAAACCGATGGGCAGACCCGTGGCCAGAGGCTGGGAGAGGAGGCTAAAACCTCTGAGAGCCCTTCGAAACTTGTCCGGGAAGGAGAGTTGATGCTGTCGCTGCCTTGGGGACCGGTGGCCCCCATCACCCCACGGCAGGATGCCCATGGAGGCCAGGCCCAGCCCGGGGATGGGATGGAGAGCGAAGCAGAGACCCCCAGGAGCAGGCAGGGGGTGCGGGGGCTCCCAGGTCCCCCACCAGCCACACGCATGGGGACACTGAGGCACCCTGCGGAAAGCCGGGGGAGATTATTCAGAGCTGACACAAGTCAGTGGTTGCAGATGACGTGTGTGAAATGTCTCCTAATGTGCTAAGGGAATCGGGTAATGAATTTGCTGAACCACTGCTAATTAAAGAATTAATTTTTTAAGCCGTGGGAAATATAATGGGAGAGGCCAGGAAGCCCTGGGATGGGCTTGTCTGCAGCTGGGTCTGTGGCTTGCAGCGGGCCTGGGTAAGGACAGCCCCTGCCAGGGCTCTCGGGGACAGAGGAGCAGCTCAGGGACACCCTGGCACAGCCCGCCGAGAGGAGAGGTGAGCCGGCCTGCAGCCGAGGGCAAGGCTCCCACCCAGACCTGGGCAAAAATACATCTCCAGCCTCGGACAAGCAGATTCTGGGAACTCCATCCTTCTGACTAACTCTCCCAGCCTTTGCCTTTCCCTTTTGTCTTCCCTTATCTCCAGTTCTTGTCAGAAACTGCTTTGATTTTCCCGAAGATGAAGAAGTCGTCTTTCAGCAGGCTGCCTGTTTCCCTCCATGGGAAGCAGCCACCCCGCAGGCAGAGCCTCCCCGTTAGCAGCCGGGGGTATCCCCCATCTCCCGGTGCGTCCCGGCGGGTGACACTGGGCTCACTTGGCTGCAGTGACCATGCAGAGCAGCGACTGCTGCTTGTCCCTGCACAAGCTGCAGCAAGAATAACTGCTTGGTTATAGAGGGAGCTGGCTGGGCCGTTCTAGGCCAGATTCTGCCACCCCGTTGCCCCTGTGGGTCCCTTTATTCCCTGGCACGTGTGGGGGTGACAGTGCCGGGGTCCCTGGTCCATCCCAGGCGGCTGCTCTCGCCGTACGGTGTAGGAGCCCGAGTCCTGTGAAGCCCCTGATCCGGCACATCCAGCTAATGCAGGGGCTGAGCGTTACGCGTGCGAGTCAGCTCCGAGCGAGCGCACAGCTCTGCAGAGCGCAGAGCGGGTACCCGAGTGTTCCCGGCATCTGCGCTTCAATCTGCACCGGGAGGCAACAACGGGATGGCACAAACACGCTGGGGCAGCCGCAGCGCGGCCGGAGGGCACCAGCAGCATCACAAGCAGCCGCGCTCCGCGGTGTCACCGCCAGGGCGGGTTTAAGGTCCCCTAAAACTTCCTTCTCCATCAGAACCCCCCGTGCAAAACACTCGGGCAGGGCAGGGGGGAGAGTGGCCGACGACGGCGTTCGGGTGCCCAAACCGGGCAGGAGGAGCCACGGGCAACCCCAGCCTGGGCAGCGCCGCGAGCAAAGCCCATCGCCACTCACCCGCGTCCCCATCCTGCCCCAGTTGTGCCCTGGCACTCGCGCAATCCCTGCGACGAGCCGACGATGCGTGCGCAGGGCCGAGGAGCGGACGCAGCCCGGACCAGCAGAGCCCCGGTAAACCCGCCGCCGTGCCAGGCTGCACCGCGACGTGCCCGGCATGGCGCTCACCAGCTCTGCGGCGCCAAAACTCCTGCTGAGGCTTCAGAAGCAGAAGTTGGGAGGCGTTAAAATCGCAGGGGGATGTAAGCAGCGGTTGGAGTCCGGGGGAGCTGAACTCCCCCACGGCAATCACCCAGCAGTGCCCCTGGGTGTCAGGATTCTCATCCAAAAGTTCCTTTCTTCCTTTTCACTCCGGTCCTGCCTTAATTAGTGGAATTTGAAAGGTGAAAAATCAAGTTAAAGCGTTGTGCTTTTGTTTAAAGCATCTGTAAAACTAGTTGTAATGAAGTTCCTGGGGCGAGCCGGGGGTTTATTGCGCTTCGCTGGAGTCTGCCTGGGGAGGAAACCCCCGGCTGCTGCCCCGTCCCCCATCCCGCCGGCACGCCACAGCAGCTCCCACGGCTTCCCGGAGCCGGTCGGTGCCTTCGCTCGCAGCCACGAAGGGGAGCACGTGCCCAGCAGCCCCGGGCCAGCAGCAGGGCTGGGGGCTTGCAGACCCCCCATGCCAAGGGCACAGACCCCGTGTTCCGGGGACTCGGGCCCCAAACCCTCCTGGGGGAGCTGAGGGGGCTGGAGTTCCCGTCTTTATGTACCGCGCACTAAGAGCCTTCCCTGGCAACTGCTGTTTCCATGGAAAATGTTGACTCTCTGCCTCTCGGAGCTTTCCGCAGTGTTTCGCAGAGCCGCCGTGGTGCTTACAGCTTATTTTACGCCGCCAACCGCAGCCCGATCAGACCCGCTGGTGGTGAATAAATCTGTATTTCCTGCAATTAAACTCCCTGGCCCGAGCGGTGGTGGTGCGGCTTTGATTACCCTTTTTTTTTTTTTTTTTTTTCCCCCCGCACAACGCGTTGCCCAACACAAAAGGTTAGCGGCTGCCTAAGGAGAGACTTCGCAGAAGCGGGCGGTGTTCTGCCGCGGGAGGCTGGAGGAAGCCGGTTAATCGGCGTCTGTTCCCCGCCAGGCAGCAGCGTGGGGAAGACAATGGAAAGAGCCACAGCCTAATCAGGCGCTTTGAAATAGTCGTGTTTGCTGATGACAATTGCAAAAATAAAAGCTTTTCAGAGAGACCGAGCCAGAGCAACAAACTCAGCAGGAGCGGGTGAACCTCCCTGAACAAGTGACCTCTAGATAAAGAGACAAATAGCAGCTCTGAAATGGCGAGATAAAGCCCCTGAGTTTCAGCAGAAACCCAACTTTGAGGGAATCGGTGCAGGCTCATTATCGCTTTCCCATAATGAGCCCGTCTGGGAGAGCGGCAGGCGTTCGATGGGCCGCAGCTCCCCGGGGGGCTGATTTCGTACCGCCACCACGGCTGTCATTTCATGCCCGGAATTGCCCTAGTCCCACTTTTCCCCATTTTTCTTTTTGCAGACAGCGGATCAGGAGCAGCGCTGGTCCCCGCCAGCCCTGACCCTCTCACCGCAGACGAGCTGGTGGACAAGACGGTCGGTGGAGCTGGGGAGCTGGGGCACGCCACGGCCCTCAACCTGCTGCCGGCCACAGAGGAGGGCACTGAGCCGGCGGCAGAGACGACGCTGCTGGTGCGGAGCCACATCCCACCAACGCCCACCACCGCCCCCAACGCTGATGCGAAACAAACTTTCCCCGTTAAGAAAAAGCCACCAACTCTAAAGCAAGTAAATACAGCAAGGAAGCACCCAAGGCCCAAGCCCACCCAGGCGGGGCCCCCCCGGGCTGCCTCCCCGGCCAGCCCGCTGGGCTCTGGGCTCCCCACTGCCTCCCAAGAGCTGCGCACGCCGGCAGAGGCAGCAGCCGGGGTGGGGGATGTGGAGCAGAGCCCCCCCGAGCTGCCCTGGGGGAGCCAGGCCACCACCAGCCACCCCGTGCTGCAGATCTCCCCGTCCACCCTGCCGCCGGCGGCCCCTCGGCCCTTCCCCGACAGCCTGGGCGATGCCGCCGACGCTCCGACCGTGGCTCCCACCGGTGCCGCCGTCAGCCGGACGAACGGCGCGGAGAGGGAGGTGTACAGCTCCGAGTCGGAGGAGAGCCAAGAAACCACCACGTCCACCATCGTCACCACCACCATCACCACCACGGAGCCCACGCCGGGTAAGCCGTGGGGTTACGGGAGCTGACGGGCAGCGGCTCTGCCCGCGCGGCGCGGTGGCCGCTGGAGCTGGAGCCCCGGGGGCTGGGTTTTAGGGAGCACCCGGGCGCGGGAGGGAGCTGTGGGGTGAGCCGTTCCCCCAGGGCGATCGCTGACAAAGCGCATCCTCCCCAGTCCTCTGCAGCATGAGCTTCCACGACCCCGAGGGCTACATCGACTCCACAGACTACCCCCCGCTGCCCCTGCACAGCTACCTGGAGTGCACCTACAACGTCACCGTCTACACGGGCTACGGCGTCGAGCTCCAGGTGAGAAGCGTGTCGCTGGGGGGGGATGACCATGGCCTGACCCCCCTGCTGCACAGCAGCAAATAGGACAAAGCACCCACGGCCTTGGGCACGGCTGCCCCGGGTTCCTGCACTTGCTACAAACGCCCCTTCCTAGGGCAAAAACTAGATTTTTCTGAGGCTGTGTTAATAAATAAACTGTACGAGGGACCTGGTACATCCCGAACACCCGTTGGGAAACGGTCAGTGTGAAGTTTGAGGTTGGACTGGGTGATCTTCAGGGTCTTTTCCAACCGAGATGATTCTGTGATTCTGTGAACGTCAGCGATGAAATGCCACACGATTAATTTAACAACGAGGCACCGGCAGGCAATTTGCAAAAAAGAAAGGCACCCAGCTTTCATGGGAAGGGGCAAAGAGGCAGCTCCCCAGCCCGCCGGGGGGCGCGCGGGTGGGCAGCCCACGTCCCCTCTCCTGCTAGAGCTTGCTCTGGATGGGTGTTGACGAAGAGCTCCCACCCCGAAGCAGGGCCACGTCCCTGGGCATCGCGGGGTAGAACCCACGCGGGCGAGCGGGCGTTCTGCAGCAGGCCCGGGGCCAGCGCCGCGTTTCTGCAGGAAAGCGGCTGCAGGTGCCGGGAGCTGGCGCGGAGCAACGGGCACGGCCGGTGCGGGTGCAGCACGCCGGTGCCAGGGCTGCTGCCGTGCCGGGGACGTGCAGACCCGTCAGAGCCGGGGGGTCCGGCCCATTCCAGGCGTGTTCCATCGGCGCTCCCCGAAACGCCGTGCCCCACGGCCTGGCGGGGCTGGACACGGGGCCACGCTTCGAGCGCTGTCAGCCCGCGGTCTCCACGCCCTGGCGCACAATCCTTTCTTGCTCATGCGCTGTCCCCATGTCACCGTTTGCAGCCAATTAAAATCCAGTCAGTTCTAATCCATGTAATTAAGAACGTGCATTAAAAGGAGGGGTGGTTCCAGCGAGCTTGTTCCCGCGTCCCCCCGGCGGGCGCGAGGGTCTCACCTCTGGCACGACACAGAAGCGAGCCCCGGTGCCGCAGAGCTCGGCGGCCGCGGCAGCGAGCACGGGGCAGTGTCCCTGTCTCCGACACTTTTCCATGGCAGTAACTGTCTCCCCAAATCCGCAGGGTGCCCAAGTCAGGCTGCTCTGCTGTAAATTCGCCTCTGTCCATAATCCATCAGGTGACACCGCGCCTGACCTCGCTCCATTGTCAGCTGAGATTTTAATGGACCATAAAATTAGCCTCTCCACCTCCCCCCGAGCTCTGCGTTTCACTTTGCTGATACTTCGGAGTATTTCAGACAAATTAAATCACAACAGCGGGTCCGCGCTGGCTGAGCACGGCCTCGTCCGGAGCTGGCTGGGCGGGCACCGTGCAGCCCGTCCAACAGCAGCTCCCGGGGTGCTCGAGGTGTCGGGGGGGGCTGCGCAGGGCAGGGCTGGGTGGGCACCCCGGGAGCTGGAGGAGGGTGGGCCCTGGGGTGCTGAGCCCCCTGGAAGTGCTGCCTGCAGCTGCATACGGCAAAACGCCCACCCGGGCCCTGCCCCGGCGTGGGCAGCAGCTCCGCAGAGGTGCCCCTGGAGGGGAGGGGGCTGCAGGTGCCCATGGATGGGACTGATGCTCCCATCAGTGAGTGCCCGACCGGCTGCAGGGAGCGAGCTGTGCTCCACAGATGGGCTTTTTAACCATTTAGGCAGTGGCAGTGACAGGATTTACGTCCCAGGGAAGCTACAAACAGTGTTCATGGCAAGCGGGACAACAGATTCATCCCCGCTCCTTAGTTTTGCACGGAGAACGGCACACGCGACGCGTGCTGGTGGAGGAGGCAGACAGCGCGGTGCAGAAACCTTCTCCGTGTTTCCATACAAACCTGATTTTAAAACGGGTTCCCCCCGGACCCCATCCCTGAGCAGCGGGGCCGGTGCAGGAAGCTCTGGTCCCACGGCTGGGACTTCTCCCCGCTGTCACAAAGAGGTTTTGCCGTCAGGACCAGCTGCTGCTGAAAACCTGCAAAACCAGCAGCAAAGATGAGCTGAAACTGGGGGTGTCTCTGCATGAGCTGCCACTGGCGGAGGGGGGGAACTGCCCGCTGGTGGCCAGCCCCGAAGGCAGCCAGCCCCTGGCAGTGACCCAGCCCCTCGCCCCAGGGCTGGGGAAATGGGGCACAGCACAGCAGAAGGGCTCGTAATCGTGGGGTTTGGGCTATCTCTAACCCTTGCTCCCCCGCCAGGTGCCAGCACCCACAGCAGTGCACAGGGATTGTGTAGGGCCCAGCACCGTGCCTCAGTTTCCCCACCCGTACACCAAGAGCAGCGGCCTCATTCTGTGCTGCTCTCTGGCTTGCACTTTGGGGAGGAATTAGCACAGAGACGCTGGGAGTGGCCGCCCTGTTCTTACTGTTCCTTACCAGAAGGGCTGGGACTGGCGGGGGCTGCAGGGAGGGCTCACGGGTCCAGGGTGAGGGGGGCACGAGCTGGCAGGAGCGGTGGCACCATGGCCCGTCCCCGCTGTGCCAGCCCGGCTGGGGCAGAGCCCAGGCCTGAGCTGGGTGGGACGGCCATCACCCCCCCGCCGCTCCCCTTTGCTTTGCCTGGCGCCTGCGGACTCTCTTCCATCGCTTTTTTTGAAAAATTATTTCACACGTAGAAGCGCCACGACCTTCAGTGGCTCCGAGGCTAATTACATCGGGCAGGTGCTGGAGTAACGCAGAGCAGCTTCCTCAGCTGCCTCGCCGTGATTTGGGTAATTGGTTAGCATTTAAGTGATTTGGATTTAATTCACAGCTCCTGTAATGGAGATGGGCAGGGGAGACCTTGCTGGGTGAGGAGGAGCAGGGCTGAGCTCTCCTGCCAGGATGACGTGATGTCACCCACAGGGGATTCCTTTTTTTTTTTTTTTTTTTTTTTCACGTGGGTTTGCTGAGCTGAGCTGGGAGCTCTGGAGGCCAGGCCTGCTCTGGGGTGCTGGTTTGGGAGAAGCAGGGCTGGGGAGCGAAGCTGGGCAGGTGCCGTGTTGCTCTGCGCTGGGGGGGACTGGGGGGCTGCGTTGGATGGGCTCTGTGTGGAGCCTGGGCTGGGGCACCCCCCTGTCACGAGTGGTGCGTGGTCTCAGCGGGAGGCTGGGCATGGGGAAGGATTCTCCGCCGGCATTCAGCGTTGGGCCCGGGGAGGGCAGAGCAGCTGATGGGGGGGTGCTGCCTCTTACCTCAGCGAGCTTTGCTAAAGGCGTCTGCAGGAGGAGGAGAAGGTGCTGGGACAGGAAGGGGTGACCTCGCGTGGGGGGTCCCGTCTCAGCGCAGGGACCGTGGGAGAGCCTGGTGGTGGCAGGAATGACGCAGGCCTGTTCCCAAAGCAGAGACGGGGAGCGCAGAGCCCTGGAGCTGCTCCTGCAGGTGCTTGGAGCCGTGGGACCCTCCGTTCCTTCCCTCGCACCCTTCGGAGTCAGACCCTCGGGGAAATCTGCCTCTGGCGAGGAGCAGGCGCGCAGCCTGGGTGTCGGGCATGGTCTCGGGAGAGGCTGCCAGCGAACCTGCCCGCTGCCGGGCCGTGGGAGAGAGCGGGGTCCCTGCTCAGCTCGCTGCCGGCAGCCCCCCGCATCTTTCACAGCGTCCTGGAGAGAGCCGTGCCTCATCCCGCC